CATCCCAGGTAGACAGAACTGATTCCAGAATAAGCATGTGTACCCTGGTCTGTAAAGAATCAGCTCAGTTGAGGTGGACTCTCAGAACTGTTGCAAGTCCAAAGAGTGAAGAAAGAAAATAGAAAATGGCCTGAAAACAAATCAGTGAGGTTGTATTTCTCACATACAATGTGGAACTTTTGTTTTATTTAAGAGTAGAATGATGAGTCTAATGAGATCCCGAAGACTTGTTCAGTCCCATGTTAAAACCTTATAACATCACTTATTTCAAATAAGAGACCCATAGTAGCTTACTGCTTTTGAAAATGCAGAGATAAAATAAATTTCCCATCAGGAAAAAACTAGAATGTTAGCCTTTTCTATTTTCTCTTTCACAAAAGACTTTGCAAAAGATCCCAATGTTAGGAAAACATGACTACGTGATAATTGAAGAAGGGTCCCTGTAGCTTTGCTGATCATAAAAAAACAACAAATAAACAAGACCCACATACCCCCCAAAACCATGCAAACTAAACTAAATGCACCACCATTGACTAATAGCACCTCATATATGGGATTTATGAGACGATAAATCTTTATGTAAGGATACAGCATCTTTTTCTATTGGAGAGACTTACAGGTTTGAACCTCCAGCCTTGTAGTTAGCAGCCTAATGCCTACCCCACAGCACTACCAAGGCTCTTTGTGGCTTTGCTAAAGGAGTGGTCAAAGAGGGCCAGGGCCAGTCTTTCAGTTTAACCAAACACAAACCAGTGCTTTCTTCCCCACAGCTTATTCTTGTATCAAGACCATGAATGAATTTCCCACAATGTATCTTATTTCTGCATGTCTAACGTTTACTCCTCCTGAGTAACTTAAATAACCCTCTGGCTTCAGAGGGACTTGCTAGGAAGGGAGGCCAGCAGGCCCTGGGGCCTTCTCATTGCAGCCATCTTCCTGACCAGTGTTGGAGCCAATCTGTTTGGAATAACTTTTTATGCAGTAGCAGGGAAGCATTGAAATAAACAGAATTGTTTATTGATGCATTCCTAGTAGTCATTATGCAACATTTATTCATTTCTTTTAATTTTATTTTTACTTTTTTCCCTTCATCTATTTGAACAATAGACCCCTCAATATTTTATGCTTGCTATAAATGATTAAATCAATTATTTGGCTGAAGTAGTTTCTCTGGTATTATTGAAATGGAAAATGCTATGTAAACGTGTCATTGTGCTGCATAAATTCTTGTCACACAGCATCCTCAGCAAATCTCAGGATAATGTCCAGAGTATCAGGTCAGTGGGTTGGATGAATTTGGTTGTCTATCCCCATCTGAGATAGCTCCTGTTCTAGGTCCTCCTCTGTCCTGCTGCGTTCGCAGTTTGGTCTTCTTTTGCTGCTACAGGAAGTATGTGGAAGGCTTTTTATCCTTCCCTTTCCAAGGGACACTGTATTTTTATTAGGATGAACATCAATTGCACCAAACATGTACACTCATGTATAATTATGTATTTGAAGGAGCTTTTTAATAATATGAATGGTACCAAAGGTTTAAAAGAGAATACAAGTGTGTGTCCTTTATGCCAAGTGACCTTGACCTCTAGATGGAGAATGAGATGACAGGAAGGGCACACAATCTGCTAACTCTGGTCTCGTGTTTTGATCTGTCTTACCAGAAAATTTTGAATAAGTCTTGTGTGAACCTCCATTTTCTCTACTTACTACTGAAATTAAAAAAAAAAATTTTTAAGTACTCTTGATGAGATTTAATTATTATAAACCACTTTTGAGTTTAGTGGATGGTTTATTAATGCTCAGTGTTCCAGCGATTAACTGTTTTGTTTGGAATTTCCATAGGTCTGGCCATTTTAGTTGCCACAGCATGGTATGGAAATAGAATTGTTCAAGAGTTCTATGACCCGATGACCCCAGTCAATTCCAGGTAATACTACTCATGTATAAAATTGTTTATTCTTTAAGAAAATAGCCTTTTTATATTCAGCAAAGTCAAGCTGTTGCTGTGGTTTCCCAGAATGGCTTTCAAGAACTACATGGCATTTTATATCAAACTTGCAAACCATTTAAACGGCCTGTGACTCATGTTCAAATGAGTTCAATAATTGCTTTAACAACCTGTATTGGTGACAGATTACTTCAAAGTAAAAGTTCTAAGCGCTATTCTTTCCAACTCTATACTGAGCCTTTTTTATTTCTTTCAAAAAATTAATAAAGACACTAATATATTTGACTTTTCCTCTTTGATGTGTATTCTGACAAAACATAATTTGTCATATATATGATAATTTATAACTAACAAACAATTTAAGGTTGGAGAATAAACACTACTATATGAGTTAGTGAAGGATTATTCTTTCTAAAATCTTAATTTTATATTGCAGACTGGTATCATTGTTAGTAAGTGGATAGACCCCTTTGAAATAGTGTGCCCTATACAACTATAAAGTTGACTTTCCAAGTGCCATTTTTTTAACATTGCAATTTGTGTATTTGCAAGGCCTGATTCTGGACTACCTGGTGACCACACTCTTTCATCAGGAGCATGCTTGTTCTTCTCACTGTCATCACAGCTTGAAAGACTAATAACTACATTTCAGTTGAGACTTTAATTATTGCTTGGTAGGAACTAGGATGAATAGATGTAAAATCCCAGTGCTTGGAGAGATAAGGTGTGTTTCTTTTTATATAATAACCCACATGTTGGAGAACACATATTGCAATGGTTGTGTTGGAGCCCAGCCCAGAGGATGTATCACCGAGGGGCAGAAACTGGAAGTCAATGGTCTGAAATGTTACTAGAGTGATAGTACCAGTAGTGCATGTGAAAGCACTTTGTAAATTGCTAGGAGTGTACAATTATTATTTACATTCTCTCAAGAGATCTCGATAGCAGTCCACTGAGACAAATGGAATTACCCTACTTTGATAGCAGAACAAACTGATGCTGAGAAGGAAAGTTAGCAGCAGCATCAGAAGCACTTGAACTTGCATCAAAATCTAGGCCTTGCACTTTAGATCCAGTCCTCCTCCAACCTCACTGTCTACAAGCACTCATGAATACCTCACCCTAAAGAGTCTCAGTTAATTCATTCATGTTATTAATTCAGTATCCCTGAGCTGACTACATCGAAGTGTTTGTTTTTTAAAAAAACAAAAATGTAAGATTTGTTTTCTTTTTTCTTTTCTTTTTTTGAGATTTGGTTTCTATGGTTACCTGGGAGCAATTACTAAAAGCTCTAGTAACCTCCTTTGCAATGTGTGACAATTTACTATAGATCATGGCTGTTGACACTTGGGGGTGGTATGACACACTGAACTTTAGGCTAGCATCCAGATTCATCTTCCAGAGTATATGAACTTACTTTACAAGCCTCCTACACATGGAAAAGTCCTGGAATTATTTGAGGAAGTCGCCTGATATTGCATGGTACACAAAGGGTCTTCAAAAAATTGAATGAAAAGAGAGTGAAATTTTTCCTTAAACCTTTTGAAGCCTCCTCATGTCCACTGCATATTAATCAACAATCATAGCATAAACATTCTGGTATCTGTGTGTTCAAGTACTTGAGGGTCTTTTTTCCAAGGGATTGCTGGGAGTTATTTTCAAAGGAAATAAATATGCATGTGATATCAACTTCCTTCTCTATATTAGAAGAGCAGCCAGTGACTGCATGATGGAAGAGCTGCATTGATTACCTTTTCCTTTCAGGTATGAATTTGGCCAGGCTCTCTTCACTGGCTGGGCTGCAGCTTCCCTCTGCATCCTGGGAGGTGCCCTACTCTGTTGCTCCTGTCCCCGAAAAACAACCTCTTACCCAACACCTCGTCCTTATCCGAAACCTACACCCTCCAGCGGGAAAGACTACGTGTGACCAAGGAAGATGACACGCACCTGTTGGAACAGACAGAAAGTGGACACTGAAATATGATCCTCAACCTTAAGACTATTGTCTTGTGACTATTGCAGTCAGAACTGGGATATTACAAAAACAAAACAAAACAAATGCCCTAAGATATTTTTTTAAATGCATTGCTAAAAATGGTCTAGTCTTACTTTATCTCCTGCCTTAATACAGGAAGAATGTCCTGTCCATTTTTATTACAGCTTCTCACTGAGTAATCATACTCAAATAGGGGGAGGGAAACGCCTTAAATACATATGGATATGTATATAGATGTTTTTCTAGTAAAAATGTAGATGGCAAAAACTCTTGCTCTCATTATGTTTGCACCAGCATACTTAAGCATCTCTAAAAAGTTGGGACAATGTGTATTGAATACGATACTCATTAAAGAAGCAGTTGAGTTTTTAATGTTTCTTCTTTCTATATATAATAACAAATGGGCCACATGTCACTTAGCTCTCCTTATCAGATGTTACTGTCTTTGACACAAGAGTTAATCTACTCTAACCCTCCCTGCTACTGAGTCGATTCTAACTCACAGTGAACCTCTATGGCTTCCTAGAATTTTCTGAGGCTGTAAATCTTTGTAAGAGTAGACTGACTAATATTTCACCAAGTGTGAATTTTTAACCTTTTAAAACATTTTTCATGTGTGTGCTTTCTCATAAGTGTCCTCTCCCTGGCCCATAAACTTGTAGCATTTGCTCTTCCATTAGTAGATCGTTCTCCAGGCCCTTATTCGCTTCCATTGGGCTGGTTTCTAGCCCCAGACCTGAGAACACATTTCATAAGCCTATATACAGTCAGAAATAACCTGTTCGACACCAGAGCTTTAGGGGCATATCTTTCACGTTTTTTGATTTTTTGCTTGGCCAGAAAAACACATTCCTATTGCCCTTCCCACATGATCCCTGTACTCTGACCTATAACAATGTTGTTTACTTTGAAAATATTTGTCCCGTTGTGTAGCTTTGCCCTGCTTTCCTAGATGTTGTAACAGTTTTATCGATTAAAATGTTAAGCTGCTTAATCACAGTTGTATATTCCCCTAAAACTACCTTATTCTTCCTCTTTCCTTAACTATATTGGTTTTCCCAAATGTAATTATCATACAGTTTACCTCTGCTCCCAGAGAGGTATGGTCTGTTTGTCAAAACAAAGTGGTAGACTTTCTGGAGTGATAACCTGGTGACAAAGAATGCTCTTGTATCTATAAACAAATCATTTAATCTTCTACCTCTTTCCCCATCTGTCAAATGGAGATAATAACACTTAACCAGCTGGTAAAGGTGATATATTAATTATTTGATATTACTCTCATACTTCAAACATGAAATATGCCCAATTAGTGCTTTATTTGCTCAACTGGCTGTTTGAAAGTCAATGGACAAAATGTAACCAAATGCCTTTTATACCTTTCAGCACCTTTTTTCCTCTGAGTCCAGTGTTCTGTTTTTCTAGCTGTGACTAGCATGTTATTAGAGTTCTCATCAATTTAAGCAATTGTTCTTCATTTTATAGTCAATGCAAGATGCTGCTTTGCTTCAGCAAGGTGATGTAATTGTCTTGAGAGACCCGAATTTGAGTGTTGGTGCTATCAGTTACTGTCTGGATTTGGGCAAGACATTTAGCTGCCCTAAAACTACTGCTTCTTCTATTCAAAACCAGAAAGAAAGAAAAAGGGCTGATGATTCCTGCCCTGTCTACCTCACAGAACTGTTGTGAACACCCAAATAGATGGGACCATATTGAGTGTGGTTTTGTAAGATGAAAAGCTCTATGCTCAGAAACACGGAGGGGTTACAGTGCATAGATTTTAGTTACTTTTCACCTGACTGAAAGGATTTTAGTATATAGGTTTCTTGCCTTGATCATAACTATTTGTTCATTAATAGTCAGATTGAGTGGGTAGAGTAACAGTGTAAATGTTTGCGATACCATAATTAGAAACCGAGTTAAGGCCCTGTCTGCTAAGTGGTCTCCTCAAAGCTGCTGCTTTTAGAGGGGAGTTACACTGCTAGAATCGTCAGTGTTGAAACAGTATTTCCTAGTATAGCCACATCTGGAAAATGATCCAAAGGTCTGTATCATAGAAGCACATGACATCATAGGAACAGATGTAGTGCTTTCCAAACTTGAGCGTCCATGCGACTAGAAGATACAATTCAAAGAGATCGTGCCATATAAGTAGACCCTAATGATGTGTGAATGTAAGTACAGCTTGTGCCCATTACCAAAAACTATGTAAAAAATTCTAAAGCCCAAAATGACCAACACAATTGTTACACCAGAAGTTATTCTATTTGATATCATGTATACTCACCCCCCAAAATAGTTTTCAATAATTCTATCTGACACATGGTCACCCCATGTGGGTCAGATCAGAATAGAACTGCTCCATAAAGTTTTCGGGAGAAAATCTTTTTCTTTCTTTCTTTTTTGAATTCGATTCCAGGCTTTCCTGTTTTTTGCTTCTGGGTGGACTTGTGCTGCCAACCGTTCAGGTAACAGCCAACCACATTAGCTGTAGCACCACCTGGGGACCTTTATTCTCTGCCACCCAGCTGAAAACAGACCAATGGATCATTTTGTTTATTGTTGTTTTATAATAGGAATTTGTATAAAGCATTATTCTTTTTCAATAAATTTTTTTAATTAAAAAAATTCTTGGTTTGTTTCTAATCACTTATTTCAAAATTGCCCTGCATGGCAAAGGAGATGGCTTGGGTTGAAATCTGACTCACTGAGTTCCTGGGAAAGAACAAACTTAAAATGGGTCAAAAGGGAGATTGAATGATAAGGTGTTACATTTTAACCTAACTGCCTCTGCAAATCCTCTTTCCAATGCACTCCGTGTGGTAGCTGCCTATTTTCCTCCCTCCACTATGGTAAGAGGAGATTCCGCAGAGGCTTAATCCAGGTGTAAACCCAGCAAATGGATTTGGATTCCATCCATAGCCATCTGCAAACCAGGTGTTCATAATTTAAATTCTGAAACTATTCCCTCCTTCAGATTAGACTTTATTGTTTACCATCCTTGGATCACAGGCTGGTATACTTCTTCCATGGGGACTGAGTTGCTGTCTCACTTAGACGGCTGCTTGTTTGAAGATAGGCTTTAAGATCCCAGTCACTATTATTTCTGGTAATGGGGTACCATGAGCTATTGCTTCACACACTTTGCTATTTCAGGAGGGAGTAATAAGCAGTAGCCAATGGTGCTGAAGAAAGAAATTCAAGCTTCCTTGAAAGCAACCAAACCCGAGGCTCCGGCAATTGATGTAATACCAATTGAAATGTTTCCACAGCACTGGAAGCACTGTCATTGTGAACTGAGTACGATCCTGTCTGGGTCCAAGAAATGTACAAAAATGTTAAGTGTAAAGCGACACCAACCCTGTTATAGTTTCATTAATCAGTCATGTGACTACACATCTCAACCTGTTTCTTCGTAAAATGAAGCTTGTAAACTGGCTGAGTTTTCTGATTCTTATCAGAATACTAGGATCATTCAAGGAACTTTTGAATCAATGATTCCAAGGTTCTATTTGAAATGTGAAGGAGTCCTAGTGGCTTAGTGGTTACTCATTGGGCTGCTAATCACAAGGTCAACAGTTTGAAACCACCAGTCACTGTTCTGGAGAAAAATAGGGCTTTCTGCCCCTGAAAAGAGTTACAGTCCTAGAAACCACAGGGGCACTGTTCTGTAGGGTCACTATGTGCCCACATTGACTAGTTGGTAGTAAGTTTATCTGAGATGAGAGAAAGCAGAATCTTTGGGAGGAGAGCCCTAAACCTGAGCGCTCAGACTAATGCCAGGCCATAATCCAGGCTGCAAACCACTGAGATAGCAGAGCTCTCAGGACCAATCCTGCTCTAAGAAATTTTGTGAGTAAACACACATCTAAGCCTCGTATACAAAGATTGCATTGGTGTCTACACATCCTTTTCTAATGCTACTGTTTGTTTGTTAGTTTTTAACTTTTCTTCTTTAGCAGGCTAGAAAGGAGGCTTAATGAAGGTGATTTAAAAAGATTTTCTCACATTCCCTTGGTCAATAACCCATTTCCTTGTCATTCTCTTTTATTTTTAAATTACCCTAAAAATAGTCTAATACAAAACAAATTCTGTTTGAAAGGACGGTCTTCTATTTAACAAAATCTATTAGCTGAAAAGGATAAGTTCTCATAATGTGGGGCCTTACACGTTTTCCTTTGTTATGGAAAACTCTTCGAGAGTTCTTACCTATGTTCTAATCTTGATTTCTTTCTTTTTAAATCAAAAACATTTTTCAGTGATTTTTTAAATCTTTGTTTCTGGTAGTTTTTTTTTAATTAAGTACTTTTATTGGGGGCTGTAATAGCTCTTATCACAAGCCATTCATTCATGCATTGTGTCAAGCACATTTACATGTATACACCCATCATCACATTTTTTCTCATTGAACATTTTTTTTGCTTTAATTCTATACCAGCACAGAGAGAGAGAGAACACACACACACACACACACACACACCACGTCACTGAACAATTTATGTAGACATTGTCAAAATGGAAACTTAATTTACTGTGTGAAGTTTCACATAACATAAAAAAGATAAGTTAAAAAATCGTGGCAAATGTTTGTTGGTTTTTTTGCCACAGTGGAAATGATACCCCTGTACTAATGCAGCACAGCAGCCATGAATAAAACAGACATGTGCCTTTGTCTCCAGGAACATTGTAGATGAGGAAATCAGACAATAAAATAAACAAATGTGCTCAGAATCAGGAAGGGAAGAAACACCACTGAAGAATGAGATCCATGCTGATGCAGCAGACGCAGAAGAGACACCAGAGGCTGCAGCACCAAGCCCACGAAGAGCCAAGGAGCAGTGGCAGCGCCTTAAGGCAGAGCAGCGGGCAGGTTCCTGGCCCCTAAGTAAAGCAGAGTGCCTTTCGGCTGGCTTGCAGACGGGGTACCTTTGGGGCATTATCACCACTAAAGAGCTTTAGTGACACGTTTCCAAGCAGGGCAGAAACCAAGGGGCACTGTGTCTGAGAGGCCAAGGACCAAGCAGAGAGACATGCCTGCCAATACGGCTGAGAAG